CCGTCTTAAGACGGGCGTATAAAAATAAGAATTTTTGATCACTTACATCCCAACTTAAAAAAATGAAACACTAATTCATGACTGGTTAATTATTCACTGATGTTCCTACTTTGCACTAAATTTTGAGTTGGAATATACTTGCTTACACTATACAGAGTATATATACAGTATTTGAGCTAAGAATTGTACACTAGGTAAGTGAATGGAATGTTATACATGCAATGGTTAAATACTGAGTAAAGCCAAGGGTAAAGCTGACCACGACTCGTAAATAGGCATATAACTATCTAGGATATTAGCACCAGGGTATACTCTTCGCATTCGTTACACCTGACTGCTTTATTGTCACAGGTATCGGCGTGGAGTGGCGACCCCTGTTCGTGCTGGTTATCTTAATTACCTTTGTTTACATTTTATTGCATTTATGTGTATTTTTGTTTGTTTGTATACTGCACTGACCTGTGCAACTGTTGTAAGTCCCTTTGGTATCTTACTCTCCTGCATTAGAAGTAAACAGTTATTTTTTGTCGCTACCGAGTGCTACATAGCATACGTCCGTCTACACCGGTGACGATTGATTACAATGACTAAGTGAGCGGCTCTATATATAGAGTCCCTCAGATATAGCGAGAGTCCAATCGAATATGACGGACAAATTTCTTTTACGAATCATGTTCAGCTCTAATGAGTTGTAAAGACAAAAATAGTAATACTGGTATGTCCCCATTCATTGACATCTGAATATTTAAACTTGAAATAATAACATTTCTTTATTTGGATTTCATTTAAAATGTTAACTGGAAAATTCCATAATCTGCATTAAGAGACTGAATATGGGGGATAACACATTATCATGTAGGGTATTTTAGAATGAAGTAAATCATTCAAATACAGAAAAATAAGCTTACAGCAAAATGCCTGGGATAAACAGTTTGGATTTGTTATATGTTTACTTTCCAATGGATTTGAAAACCACAGGGAATGAAAATCATTTCGCCATCAGCATGAATTTATTATAGCGTGTTCGTTATAACCATGTTTTACTGTATAGATATTTCTTCTCTCATATCATGGTACATATTGTATAGATACATTTTCCTCATTGTTTAAGCCAGTGGTTTATATCATTCACTTATTATACTATGGTGTACCATAGATTTAGAGGTTGATGGTAGCCAGACATCTTTTCACCTTGATGATATAACATTAAAACTGTTCTCCTTCATTTCAAAACAAATTTCACAATTTTAAAATTAAAACCTTAATATATGAAATTTACAGTAATATTTTCTATCAGTTTTTCTTTTCTAGATGTATACCACCTTGGTAAAATGTTCATTTTCTGAAAATATATCAAACTCTTTTATCATTTCATTTTTAGTCAGTGCCAATTTAACTTAACCAAATTATAATTAATAATAAATGGAATCACAAAATGTCCCATAACAACTTTCAGAATTTTATGAAATGGTGTAATGATGGAATAATCAGATCAATAGTTTTACAATTCATGTCCCATATTCACTGCTTTTTCACTTGTTTGATAAATTTATGTCCACAAAGTCAAATAAATAGAATGGTGTTTGCATGAAAAAGTGAAGCCTTTTTCTTGACCACCAGCAAAGTTTCTTTCAACAAGTTCACTTTCTTGGAAAACCTGTTTTTTGTAAGTTTTCACCATAACATTATACTGTCCATACCCTCTACTTTTAGGAATCAAGAACATTTCTCTTTAAAAAAAAAATAATTTTCCAAACAGAATTTTCTTTTAATTATCATTCTCGGACACCACTGTAGATTGCCCCAGTCCTTTGGATGAGACCATATAAACCCAGTTCCAGTGTCGCAGAAGGTGCTGGCACGAAAATATCTCTCCCTCCTTAAAGGCCTAAGTGCCGAGTACAGGTCTAAATTTGCAGCCATTCACCGGTAAGTGTTGGCGTCTCCATATGAATGAAAGATTCTCATGTGGGGTGTTGAAACAACAAACTGTAGACTATTCATAGCACTCCATTTCTATCAAGTACTCTCATGTTCTTCCACAAAGAGCTATAATAAAGATAAAAGTACATTATACAAAGAAGCTAAGATTTATTCATTTATCATCTTATATATATATATATATATATATATATATATATATATATATATATATATATATATATATATATATATAAATGTGTGTGTGTGTGTGTGTGTGTGTGGAATATGTAGTGTAAAAGTGTTAAAATGAATGTATTTTCATGCATAGATCCTCTCCCATATATTGTGTTACAATGATAATTATTTTTTAGCTACTTGAAAGTGAAATTTTCTCGTGTATATACACAAATTTATCTGCACACGTTTTTATAAAATTTAAGAACCTCCGCATTAAAAATATTTAAACCAGATTCGTTTAATGCTGTGAAAAATTCAAAATCAATTATTTGGTTTAATTATTAAGCTTTGTTCAATACACCTCTATGATTATCTTATTAAAAAGGCACTGTGGCTTTTATTTCTGGCTTCCGTCAATTTAGAGGAAATTCGGATTGTGAATTACTTCTAATAGTACGTGTATGCACATAAAACCCAATAAAAATTATAGTAAATAGTTATACATCAAACATCATACTTTTATTGTATTATAAACCTTATTTTTCTTGACAAAGTGTTACTACTTACCCCTTTATCACCAATTTCAATAACATCAAGCCGTGGCGAGGCCTCAACAGTGGACTCCATAGGACGTTTGGTGATCAGCTGATTCAGATTGAAAAATGTTATTAAATTAATTCAATATTTATCTAAAGATTGTATTGAATAATTTAACCGCAAGAAATACATTATTTGTATTTGTTCCCGACTGAAATAAGAATATCTACTTGCTGTTTCGTTTTGTGAAAAACGAATGTGTATTAATAGTAAACCAGCATAATCCTGATTTTAAGTAGGTCAATGCTGCCTTGTAAATGTAGATCAATGCTAGCTATGCTAGTTCTATCCTTTGCTTGCTGATGCTGAACCTGGTAATGCTGTTTTTTAAATGGTGATGCTAGCTCGATCCTGATGCTACTAATGCTTATGCTGATTTATTTAACAAAATTAGTTCCCTGCACTGTATGTTAACCTACAACACCAGTTTACACGTTAGATTTCAGGTCCTCTTATTGTTTTGCTGCAATCCTAAGTTACTTTTGCATCTGGCCGACCTATTCTAATTTGTCTTCTCTTCATAAGTACTCCACACTTTAATTTACTGCATTTTCCCACCACCTAAACGGCCCTCATTTTCTACTATATCTTTCTTCTCTGAACTTAAAACTGTACTTGCCTAGTTCTCTCTCGTTTCTAGGTTGGCCAATTCGGTCATCTTCCCCTGGGACCCTGGTGTATCCTTTATGATCTGTATCTGCAATTCTCTCAAAAGAGACTCCCAGCAATTCATCATGACCTACTTGCAATCCATCTAAACCTGCACACCCAGGCTCGAATTCACCAGATACATTTGGACCAGTGCGCACTTGAGCTGGGTCTTTGAGGTTATTAGTTTCACTCCATTCTCCCGGAATGTCAAGCAGGCCAGGTTCCTTCTGATCACAACACAATTCATCCTGATGTTCGGGAGCAGGAATCGAATTAAATTGAATTTTTTATAATTAATAATGATGAAAGCTCAAGTGAGCTTTTCCGATCACAATTTGTCTGTAGTCCGTCTGTCTGTCCGTCTGTAAACTTTTCACATTTTCGACTTCTTCTCCAGAACAATTGAGCCAATTTTAACCAAACTTGCCACAAAGCATCCTTGGGTGAAGGGGGTTCAAATGAAGGGCCGGCCTTCTTCTAAGGGGAGATAATTAAGAATTAGAGAAAATTAGGTTGTATCTTTTAAAAATCTTCTTCTCGAGAACCACCGGGCCAGGGAAGATGAAACTCATGTGGAAAGATCCTCAGGTAATGTAGATTCAAATTTGTATAAATCATGACCCCCGGGGGGTAGGATGGGGCCACAATTGAGGATCAAAGTCTTACATAGAAATATATAGGAAAATATCTTCTGAAGAAGAACTGCAAAGCCATGATTAGTCATTTTGATATAGAAACATCTTCAGATAGTGTAGATTCAAGTTTGTTAAAATGATGACCCCCGGGGATATGATATAGAAACATCTTCAGATAGTGTAGATTCAAGTTTGTTAAAATGATGATCCCCGGGGATATGATCGGGCCACAATGGGGGATCAAAAATTTTACATCGGAACATATAGGAAAATATCTTCTGAAGAACAGAAAATCATGTTTAGTCATTTTGATATGGAAGCATTATCAGGTAGTGTAGATTCAATTTTGTTCAAATGATGACCCCCGGGGGTAGGTTGGGGCCACGATGGGGGTCAGAAGTTTTTCATAAGAACATATAGAAAAAAAAATCTTCTTAAAAACAGAAAAGCTAAGTTAAGTCATATTGATATGGAAGCATCCTCAGATGTGTAGATTCAAGTTTGTTCAAATGATGACCCCTGGGATAGGGAGGAGCCACAATGGGGGATGAAAGTTTTACAAAGGAATTAAAAAATCTTTGCAAGTGCAACAAAGCCATGTTATATTGACATGGAAGCATCATCATGTAGTTTAAAATTCAAGCCCACTCCCTTCCCCTGGTAATCTTTTCAATACTGAACTGATTTGTGCTTTTGCCTAGCCAATGTGCTCAGGTGAGCGATGTTGCCCATGGACCTCTTGTTGAGGTGGAGTGGACAGAAAAAATTTCCAGTATTGCACATCAAACTACTAAAGAAAACTACTAAAAGAAAAAAGATTCAACAAGAAAGACATGCTTCCTGTAACCGAAGACTTGATCAGTCTGCAGAAATTTCTTGACACTAAGTTGAGGGAGTACATAGTACTTCTTAATACAGAGAAAACCATGTCAAATTGGAGGAATTTCGCCAAATTCTACTTTGTTAAGTGCAAACTTTCAATTTCCAAAGAAGAAATGAAGCGTCAAAGATGTTACTAGCCACATGGAGGCAGTGTAATAGCGAGATAGTCAACACACTGCAGATACTTGAGCAAGAAATTGCTAAACGGTATGAGTATTACATTTTTAAGAAGATATTTCAAATACTCCTTTTAAAGAAACTATGATGAAAAGAATCTGCTGATGTAAGCATTGACATCTTTATCTTTCAGCATGGATCTAGTAGAAGGTATTGGGAAGCAAAATAGAAAAGTCCCAATTTTCCTTACACCTTCCATAAGAAAAGGGATTGATCTATTTGTAGCGACTAGAGAGGAAGTTGGCATTTCTTTAAACAATCCTTACGTCTTTGCAAAGGTACTTCGATTTAAATAACTGTTAGGTCAGTTTTAATCTGTGGAACAGAAAATATTTATATTTATTATATTTTTGTGTTCCATGTTGATTAAGGGAGGAGAAAGTTTCATACGAGGAGCTAATGCATTGAAATATGTCATAGATCAAGTAGAACTAAAACATCCACAATACATCAAGTTTCCAAAAATGAGAAAATATTTGGCCACTGTTGTACAAGTAAGAAGTTTCTATATTTTATCTTGAGTAAAACTTACCATTTAAAAGATATTCATTGGTTCTCTTCAATCTGATGTTTTGATGCCCACAGAAAAATCACTCAGGAATTGGAATGGGTGTGTGAATGAGACCCATCATATGTTTGTTTTATAATTTAAATAAAGGTTTAAACAAATTTTGAATTCCCTCTCTTGTATGGTTCAAAAGTTATGATCAAGGTTTAAGTCACCCTTTTAGCCCACCTAATCTGATGATTTCCTAGCCGATGTGCTCAGGTGAGCAATGTGGCCCATGGGCCTCTCGTTTAATTTCTGACCTTTCCTTTATTATGACCAGTCCATCATTAATTATTTAGTATATTTTTATGGTAACCATGGAGACACTTTTTTAAATAAATGTTGCTTAGCAACTAGTCCATATGACCAAAATTTGAAATTTTCTTTTGAAACTTTTTTTATCAATGATCTTTGTTTTTACACATCATTTAGCAACTTTTATTCATAAAATGTTATAATAGCATAAGAAGCATATAAGTAGTGCATGAAATATTTATTGTTGTTACCATGGAAACAGAACATTTGCCTACACACCTTGTTTTGAAAAGAAATGCAATTCAGTAAATTATTGTTCTTTAATAATTGCTATTTTTAGTCATTAAAATGCACATTTATAATTCAAACAAGTATTTTTGAAGCATATAATGTTTTTTCCCCACATTTCTATTGCTAAGCAACCATTTCAGTTAGTATGTGATAGAAACATTATAGCCCCACAATAGAAAAAAGGTTCTGAGTGACATGATAGCTCCGCCCCTTGTGTATTCTGAACTTGCAGCTCCTTGTTTTGTTTACTTTCTGCAGAGAGGTGTTTACGACAAAAAAAATTAATAAAAAAGCATTCCTACAAAAATTAAATAAGTAGAGTTATAATTAGTTATATATACACGTACTAATTACTAAATGTCTTCAGGGCTGTAAATTTACACAATTGTAGACTACAATTAATTTTTAAAAATGAAAGAAGTTAAAAAGGGAAGTCAGGGGATGATTTTTATCCCTTACATTAAACTTCAATACAGGTGTTTGAAAACAATTATCTGATAAATTAATGCTGTCATGATTATGTACTCAAAGTTTATATTAGCACTATTTAAGAAAAACAAACAAACAAACAAAAAACAAACTTGTCATTTCAGTAAGATATTCAGAGGGGCGTAGTGTACTGTTTTTTTTTTTTTCTTAATTGAAAAAGCTACTATGCTTAAAAAAGAGCACTTCATGCTATTTTTTACCGCCCTTAAAAAAAAAACTAATGAGTTATTAAATGACCATGAAATAAAATTATTCTACCATTCTTCTGTCACATAAACAATGTAAACAATTATTGGGGGATTTATTTATTAATTAGTTTTTTATTTATAAATAAGTTATTAAAAGAGTACATTTAAAAAATAAACGTTTAAAATTTCGGGAATTGTGACTTATTTCTTATTTGTTTTGTTTGTGTTTGACTGACGGATTAAATAAAAAGCAATACAATTTCATAAAATGGTGTCAACATCTGAGGTTTCAATCGCATTTGGGCATAATTAGCAGAAAGTCAATGCATGTTATTTGGGTATCAGTGTTACAGATCACTGAACACGCTGGTCAACAACGACACTAATTAAAATCTATGTACTGCAAAATATCTGTTTCAGTAATCGTGTATAAATTTATTTCAGGATTAATTAATTTTGAACATAATCTGAGGGTTCCATTTGCGTGATTAACAGATGTACACTCGAACATTTATTAATAATGCACTTGAAACTGAGAATCTAACAATATTAAATTTTCAAGTCATTGAAAATAATCATGACTGAAATATAATACTCAGCAATATTTAACGAATTCTTAAAACTTAAGACATAGTCTTAAGTCTGGCGTCGACTCAGTAGGACAAAAGCCAGTGGTGCTTGTTTTTGATGGTCACCAAGGAACACATAAATTGAAAATAACTTGGCAAATGGACTCCTGACATCTTTGAAAATTCCGTCGACGTACCATGTCTGTAAAATGGCTAAGACATCGAGTTGTTCCGTTGTGGCAAAGATGAGATGCCGCTGTCCGTAACAAGAAATGTCTTTCTGGAGGAATTCTACAGTTATGTATTCTTCCGCGAGCTCAAAATCGCAGTCTTTTGGCACCTCGGGACGTACCTTTTCCCTGTTTCTGTTGGCGATCCGTATAAAATTTGATAACTTGGGTCGACTCTGTGGCGGGAGGTTTGCATCAGACATTGAATACAGTACTCGTTCTGCTATTGTTGCTGCACTCTCGAATACGTTGTCTACGGACTGCTCCTTCACAATTGCTGTAATTTTCTTTGCTATCGTCAATCCTGCGACTCTCTTACGGCAATGCCGTTGTTTCTCAATTGAAAAAGTACCCTGTCGTTACAATGATATGTTCATTCTGGCTGAGACTCCCGATTCAATCAGTATTCATGTGTAATTTTTGAATGATGTATTCTTGAAATAATTACTTCGTCTTGACGTTTCAGACCGAAGTCAGATGATCTGTTTACTTTGTTTTTAATAGCATAAAGCGTACTTTCATCACAAAAATCCCAATAAATTTGCCAAAGAGAATCAACATAAATTTTATCTCAAAAGTGGGAAATATTTTGATAAGCAATATTGAACAAAAGATGTTCAAAATAACGTTCTAAACAATATGCAACCTTTCATTTTTTGCTAAACGTCCCCATTAAGGAGTTGAAGGGCCGGCCCCTAAATACCTCCTTTGCAAATATCTCAGAAACGAAAAAGAGTTTCTGAGTAGTTGTTGAACAAAAAGTGTTCAAAATCATGAGAGCTTTAAAGTGATATGAAGAAAAAGGGCTGGCCCCTCAAAATAGGGGCTGAGAGGGGCCGAAAGTCTTTGAACAATAACTCTTTAACGATCGACATTTTGTAATGCATTACTGAAGCAAAAATGTTTATCTCAACAATTTACAACTATATATTATGATATTCACATCATATGTTACATAATTAGGGGCCATAAGGGGCAAGAATGCTAAATCTTTGACGACTTAGATCTCAAAAGTGGGAAATATTTTGATAAGCAATATTGAACAAAAGTTATTGAAAATAATGTTCTAAACAATATGCAACCTTTTGATTTTTGCTAAAAGTCCCCATTAAGGAGTTGAAGGGCCGGCCCCTAAATATATCCTTCGGATATATCTCGGAAACGAAAAAGAATTTCTGAGTAGTTGTTGAACAAAAAGTGTTTAAAATCATGAGAGCTTTAAGGTGATATCAAGGAAAAGGGTCTGACCCATTAAATAAGGGGCTGAGAGGGGCCGAAAGTATACAATCAATAACTCTTTAATGATCAATATTTTGTAATATATTACTGAAGCGAAATAGTATATCTTCACACACTTTATCTAAATAACATGATGTTGATATCATAAATTACGCAGTAAGGGGTCTTTAGGGGGCAGACTGGATAATCTTTGGCGCAATATATCTCGAAAAGGAAGAATATTTTGATAAACAGTATTGAACAAAAGACGATCAAAATAATATTCTGAACAATATGCACTCTTTCAATTATTGCTAGACGTCTCCATTTGGGACTTGAAGGGCCGGCCCTTAATATTTCTTTTGCATATATCCCGAAAACAAAAAAGAATTTCTGACTAGTTGCTGAACAAAAAGTGTTCAAAGTCATGAGATCTTTAAGATGATATCAAGAAAAAGGGGCTGGCCTCTCACATTAGGGGCAAAGAAGGGGCGAAAGTCTTTAATCTATAACCCTTTAATGATCAATATTTTGTTAAACATTATTAAAGCAAAATTGTTCGTCTTAACAATTTATTTATATCATTATATTTGAACAAAAATCTCAGTCAAATTTTTATCTCATCTTATCAAAAATCGGACGGAAGACCCACTCGTTGCTCGCAACGAGATCTCATCTAGTTATTATTATTCTTTTTTTTTCTTTACAATTTTTGTGCAGAAGATTTCTCGGAGTTGGCTTGATCGATTTACTTGAAATTTTCAGGGAAGATGTATCTTTGTCTGAAGCTTATACGTTTTTCTCATTTTTTTGAAATTCACTTCCGGTCGGAAGTTATCGCCCTTTAATCAAAATTCAGAGGACCTCCTTGTCTGCAATGGAACTCAAAAACGATTAAAGCTAGAGTGCTGAAATTTTCAGCGATAATAGAGGACATGTTGCCATTGATCACCTGGGTTTTCAAATCTTCCGGAAGTGCCTAGTATGGAAGCTCGGTAGGGGTCAAAATTTAGGAAACGAATCATGAGTGAATTTTAGAGACATTTCTTACGATAACTTTTTAACTATGAGTATTTTGTTAAAACATATTGAACAGAAATTGTGTAGAATAACAAGATCTTTTATATGATATCAAAGAAAAAGGGCTGACTCATCACATTTGGGGCTGAGAAGGGCCGAAAGTCTTTAATCAATAACTCTTTAACGATCAATATTTTGTAATGTATTACTGAAGCAAAAATCTTTATCTCAACAATTTACAAGTATATATTATAATATTCAGATCATATGTTACATAAGTAGGGTCCATAAGGGGCCAGAATGCTAAATCTTTGACCCTTTCTATCTCAAAAGTGGGAAATATTTTGATAAGCAGTATTGAAGAAAAGATGTCCAAAATAATGTTCTAAACAAGATGCAACCTCTCATTTTTTGCTAAACGTCCCCATTAAGGAGTTAAAGGGCTGGCCCCTAAATACTTCTTTTGTAAATATCTCAGAAACGAAAAAGAATTTCTGACTAGTTGTTGAACAAAAAGTGTTCAAAATCATGAGAGCTTTAAAGTGATATGAAGAAAAAGGGGCTGCACCCTCACAATAGGGGCTGAGAGGGGCCGAAAGTCTTTAATCAACAACTCTTTAACGATCAATATTTTGTAATGCATTACTGAAGCAAAAATGTTTATCTCAACTATTTACAAG